AGCGGGTTTTAGAAAGATTTTATTCCGTTTATCAGGAACTACACTCAAGTACAGCACAGTGTTTCATCCGCAAACGGATGGTCAAACAGAGGTGCTAAATCGATGCGTGGAAACATACTTGTGTTGTTTTGCCTCATATCAACCAAGAACCTGGTTTCACCTTCTGTCATGGGCTGAATTATGGTACAACACATCGTTTCATACAGCTTTGAAGGCATCATTGTTTCAGGTTGTCTATGGCCGGGATCCTTCAACAATTGTGCGCTTTGAGGAGGGATCTACAACGAATTTTCAGTTGGAGGAAGCTTTGAAAGAACGTGATGCAATGTTGCTACAGATTCATGCGAATTTGACGCGAGCTCAACAGCTGATGCAGACGCAAGCTAATAAACACCGGCGTGACCTCGAGTTCAAAGTAGGAGATAGGGTATACTTAAAACTCAAACCATACAGACAGAACGTTGTAGTCAAATGCTTCTGTTTGAAGTTATCGGCTAAGTTCTTTGGTCCGTATGAAATACTCGAACGTATTGGGAAGGTGGCATACCGTTTGAGGTTACCTGATGAGTCCAAAATACACCATGTGTTTCATGTTTTCCAATTAAAGGCTGTAGTGGGATTGGGATATCAGGCGTAGCCAACACATCCATGTTCTTCGGATTTAGAGACCATTACTCTAGAGCTTGCTGACGTGTTGGCGTCTCGAGCTACTGACCAAGGGGTTGTGGAATTATTGGTGCAGTGGAAGAATTTGCCAAAACATAGACGTTCGTGGGTACCAACTCGTGAGTTCGTGAAGCAGTTTCCGACTTACAAGCTTGAGGACGGTGGGGGGGGGGACTATTGATAAGCTCCATCGTGTGTACGTGCGCAAGAAGAAGAACGAGTTATCAGAACCGGAGAAAAGTCAACACGAGTGAAAGAGTGGAGAGTCACGTGCGAGAGGAGAAGTGCATGTGTGAAACGAAAAAGAGGAATCAAAGTGATATGCTCAAATTAACCCTTAGAGCTACTCTCTCAAATTAAGAGATCACGGTAGTACTTAGGGATCGAATCCACAAGGACTTGAGACTATCACTCAACAGATTTTAGATTCAAATAATGCTAAGCAGTAGATGATAAAATAAAACTAAATATTTGCGAAGTCAATGAGATCAGGATGGTTGTTGGTTCTTAAAATCAATAGAGACAAGCGCTAGGTAATGGGAAATTCGCAGGTTGACATAAATCACAGACCACAGACTGAAAGGAATATTTATTAAAACCGTTCTATAACTCGAAACACTAGTGTAAAACCAATCGACTTCCGTCGCAGAGATTAACTATGATCAGATTTCAGAATTCCAAATTCCTTTGCAAACTCTAACAACCTAAACATGCATTATAGATCAGGTTCGATAAGTTCACAAAACCACTAATCCAAATTCCTTTGCAACTAGTTATTTTGCTCATCTAAGATAGTTCTGGTGATTAATAATATTTCCACATCTATTAAACAACCTAAGATCTGTTTTCTAGGTGATCAATCTTAAAACCAGTATTAAAGCAATCAAGATGAAGACCCAAATGATTTATCCTTCCAGTTTTGTAGTTATAACAATTTATTATCAACTTTTGAATAACCCAAAACCTAAATAGCAGATTACTCAGACATAGCAGGTGAAACACAAATCATGACTGAATAATATTGCATTAAGAAAATAGAATAAAAGATTAAAGGGGTTCGAAATTCTTCTCTACAGAGTATGGATTTGTCTCCCCAAAAGCTCTCAATCTAATCTCTCTCTTTGTCTCAATAATTCTCAGAATATCTGGCTCACAATGGCTTAGAAAACCAAAATACAAGTCTAAACACGAACTGGGGCAAAAGTGCAAATAGTGAGAAACTTCTAGGCCAAGTTGCAATTTCTTCTAATGAGATTTAATGCTTCTTCGCAACCACGATCGATGTCGATTGACACCAAGAGGTGGGTGTCGATCGACACCTAGCTCTTTAATGTCCTCCGACTTGGTCTTTTCAGCAACAGCTTCAGTATAGCTCCAAAAGGTTCCAGAATCCACAATTATGCTCCATTCGTACCTAAACCTGCAAAGACTCTATAGGACTCGAAAAATACCAAAAAGATTCTATAAACAGGACTTATATCATGGTCAAAAACCAGCAAAAACCATGATATATCACAAAGTATAAATAGTATTCTGTAATTCTTTAGAAGAATTATCGAGAATAATTAATTGTAACAGAATTTGCTCTTGGGCGATTCTCTGATCATATGTGATCAGCGTATCTGATCGTATGTGATCGTGATCTTCTTCTGTAATTCTCCATTGATACATTGATTGATTCAATAATGAAGATTAGTTTGAGGAGAATCGCTATCAATACTCTAACAGAAATTGTCCATGAGAATAAAGGGGAGAGCTGTGAAAATGAATTGATAGTTATTTTAGAGGTGGATGGCTCCTTTGTAGAAGATGAGTTGCAAGACATGAAATCTTCACCATTGGCAAAATGTTGTGTTTTACAACATCAACAAGTTGCACAATGAAATAATGAAATTTTGTATCTGTTGAAGAGGTGGTTGAGATGAATTAGAAATCAACAGTTGTTTGTGATAAGCTAAATGCATACCAAATGTTTGATAATTTGTCTCATAAGACTGAACAAATTCCAAAACGGAAACAGTGAAACTGTGAAATTACTTCAAAATCAGAAGATTCAAATTCAAAAACAAGATATAACCAAAATATTTAGTAAACTAAGAAAACGACAAAGTAAATAATTGAAGAATGGAAAGATTGCTTTCAATCAAAGCAGATACATATACAATCCAAACAAGAATATGTTTCAGAGCTTGAAATTGGTGAAAGAAGCAGACACATCATGGTTCCTTTTTTGAAGAAAAAAAATAATGCCTTCTCAAAGATTTCTTCGCTTTCTTCTGGAAGTAGATGATTATTCATTCGCTCCTCACTCGCATAACAGAGCGCCATAGCCTAATATCATCAAACTTACATGCATCATTATGGGGTGACAGAAGGATCGTACCGTTCGAACCTTTTTCATACTTTGATATAATCTCTCGCTGTTTCTCAGTAGCTCAGTTTTTTTTTACATGTAGTATTTTTTACTAGCCGAGTCAGCATATTTTTCAACATGATGAGAGGACGGGACTCAAGAAGCTTGCAACAGTTGTTCAATAATTATTTGGTGCTCACGTTTATGTCTTTTTTAACAACCAAAACTAAAATATTTACCAAGATTCAATACATAGGTTCATAGTTGAATAAAATGGTATTTGTGAGATTTTTAATCGTGGATGCTTCCAATTGGATAGACATAACTTATATCCATCTGCCATGTGTATTTATGTATATGGATATATATATATATATATATATATAGTATAGTAGATGTACAATATTTAAATATTCATCTCTAAATTTAGTCTTAGACATGTCAAATCTTAACTTAGTATAATACATGTTAGGTGATTATCTATGTAGATACTCACATATGGAATAGTTGAAATGAATGAACAAATCTGTGTTTTGTCATATATATATATGCCCACAATCACCATGAATTACCATCTATACCAACATAATACGTACCAAATTCAGATATTTATCTCTAAGCTTGGGTTTATATATGTCGAAGCTGAGCTTACTATAAGATATATCGAAGCTGAGCTTACTATAAGATATGTCTGGTGGTTGTACACGTTGATACTCGCATATGGAACCATATGATTGAAATGAATGAACAAATCTGTATTTTCTCATATATCTATACCCACAATAACTTCCTTAATTACTTTTCCACTAAGCATATCCATGTTTATTATATCCACGATTACCATCCATGTCAATATAATACGTACCAAATTCAGACATTCATCTTTATGCTTCGTTTTAGACAGGTCAAAATTAAACTTAGTATAAGCATATATGGTACTAAGGTACTTTGTGTTGTAATTTCTTACATTTTGACATGTGTTTTACTGAAATTGTCCTTGATGAAGTGAGGAGTGAAACAAATAAATTAGTTATTCATTGTAAGTGTGCCATATGGATAAACGGAGATAACGGGGTATACATCTTTGTATGTCCACGATGGTGTATGCATATGGATGTCCACGTTAGTTTACAAAATCATGATAAGAGTTTTGGTTATCTGTACTTCATAGTGAGTGTATTATATTGATAGACAGAAACAACGAGGTATACATGTTAGTATGTCCACGGGGGTGTATCTATACAGATGTCCATGATGGTTTACAAATCGTGATAAGATTTTTGGTTGTCAAAAGTGAGTGTGTCATATGGATAAACGGAGACAATAAGGTATATATGTTGGTATGTTCACGATGGTGTATCCATATGGATGTCCACTGTGGTTTATAAATTGTAATAAAAGTTTGGTTGTCCATAGTGAATGTGCCATATGGATAGACAGAGACAACGGGGTATAGATGTTGGTATGTCCACGGTTGTGTATCCATATAGATGTCCACGGTGGTTTACAAATTGTGATAAGATTTTTCGTTGTCTATAGTAAATGTATCATATGGATAGACAAAGACAACAATGTATAGATGTTGGTATGTCCACCGTGGTGTATCTATATAGATTCTATAACTAAAAAGCTCTTCTGTGTATCCATATTATTATGGACATTTCCATAGTGTGTCATATAGATAGACGGATACAATAAGGTATAAATGTTGGTATGTCCACGGTAATATATCTATATAGATGTCCGTAATAGTTTACAAATCGTGATAAAAGTTTGGTTGTCCATAATAATAAAAAAGAAGAAAAGATATAATTATCTTTTCAATAGGTGAAAGTGCTCGCTTTACTCAAAATGTTCTTTATTGATATTATAGTTTGAGAAAGTACTTTATCTTGTAATATTCTCATAATTTAATTAATGCACAACATTTTTTACACATCAGCTCTAGCTAACTCAACATGTTAAAATTTCCTGGTCTGCTATGGTTAATGATACAGGTCTATTCGATTTGTCCGTTTCAGCCGAATATCTCAGTAAGGAAATCATCAATTGCCTTGTTCTAGCAGAAGAAGGGCTACATGCTGTGGTGTTAGTTTTATCTGTGAGAACTCGAATAACACAAGAGGAGGAGTCCACACTTAACACACTACAGGTCCTTTTTGGGAGTAAAATCATTGACTACTTAGTCGTTCTATTCACTGGCGGTGATGAGTTGGAAGCAACCAATAAAACACTGGATGATTATCTGTCCAGAGGTTGCCCTGAATTTCTCAAGGTCTTGCAAATTTTGGATTGTAGAAATTTAGTTTCTGCATCTCTAATATATATATATATATATATATATATATATATATATATTCAGACAGTTCTTAGGCTGTGTGGTGGAAGAAGGGTTCTGTTTGATAACAGAACAAAGGATGAATGCAAGAAGGTCAAACAAGTAAAGGATCTTCTCGCTCATGTCACAGCCATCGAGAGGAGCAATGGTGGGAATCCGTTTACGGACGAGATGCACCGTAAGATAAAGGTGAAACTATAGTTGATGATACACTTCCCATCACTCTCTTCTTGTGCTGCTTTGCCTCCAGCTAGAAATAATTGTTGATATATATGGTTGAAATCCACGGTTTTTCAGAAAGAGGCGGACATGCTGAGGGAGCAGCAAAAGGAGGTTGAGTCTAAGAACCTTGCAGATGCAGAGAGAGAACGGTTGAAGAACCAGTTAAAAACGGAACACGACCAAATTATGAACAGTATGGCGGTGATGGTAATAATTTGTTTTCCTTAAACTCTCTCTATATAGCTGAGAACTCTAGATTTGTAGCTCCGTTCTAGGCATTCGAGGAGTCGTTTGAAGTTTCTTGAACCCAGAACGTTTGTTCCTTAATAATATGTGTTCTTGTTCTCTTTCAGGTAGAGAATAGGCTAAAAGAGGCTTCTGAAAAACAGGAGAAACTGATGCTTGCGTTGAGAGAGAATTTGGAGACATCACGAAGAGAAAATGAAACTCGGGAGAATGAACCTGGTCATGGAAGGCGGCCGATGATACAGGTTGGCGTCTCACTTCCAGGGATGCCCCCATGCAACATGCTGTGATCGAAGAAGACACCATTACGTACAGAAGGGTCTGGTCTTTTATTTCTCTTTTCGTTTGTTTCATGTATGCTTTATCTTGATTGATTCCCTTTTGCATTTTCCCGATTTCCTTCCAGTTCTACAAGTTAACCTTGTTGTTAATAAGTTTGTATGTAATGGAGGTTTTATACTTATACTCGATTGACCATTTTAGTTCAGATTTAATCCAACCATAATTTTGTGTTATTCAATTAACGGTTTTAAAATTTTAATTGAAATAATGTATTTTCTCCATTTCATTGTGCTTGAGTGTTAGAAATGAGCATATTTTTAAAAAAGCTTTCACTAGCAATAACCTAAGCCTATCAAGACTAAGGATGATGTATCGATTTAATTTAAAAAAGAAAACTAATCGAAGATGCTTGTTAATCCCTATAATACCGGATCAGCTCAAAAGAATATTCAGAGATAAAAAAGAATTTCCATATTTCTCATAAAATAAGGTTATTTCCATATCGCAAATATGGAAATATTCACCCAAGAAGAAAAAGAAAAGGAGTTCACAGCAACCGGCCTCTTATTCCTATAAATAAGAAGACCCCGAATAGCTTCAAGGTAACTCATACAATCTAGAGAGCAGCAGAGCAATACCTAAGAACTCAAAGCTTTTTAGTTTATCGCTTAAACATTTTTTCTTTCACTTTGGCATTACCTCTCGGTTATACCAGTCTCTTGTAATCACTTCGCCTTTGAGCTATTAATAAAGATCTTATTCTTCAAAACCCACAATTGTTAATCACTTAGACCTACTAGTGATTTTCTGGTTCAACAATTGTCGCCGTCTGTGGGGACTAGGAGAATAAAGTTTTAAAAACTAGCAAGACATGACACGAAGCGATGAGTCTTCCATCCGACAACATCAACCCCACTCTCAACAAAGAAAATAACACCATGTGCACCGAAACACCTACTCTTGATGAACACGGCAACCCTGTCATCAGCACCACAGCGATTCCACCACCCACGGGAGAACAAGCATCAAACAACAATACCTACATGATCATAAGAGAACTGTCTGACGGTAGGGATTCATTCGAAGCCATCAAACTTTACGAAGCAAGAGAGTTATCAGCAAGGCAAAATCTGACTATCCCACAAAATAAGGCACTGGTTGCATTCACGACGGACGATCTACAAAGCCTCCATACACCACACAACGACCCACTAGTCATAACACTACTTATTCACGAAAGCACATACACCAAAATTTTGGTTAATAGCGGCAGCACCGTCAACATGATCTTCAAGGAAACCCTGGCAAGAATGGACATCGGCGAAGGTGAAGTAACCATAACCGCAAAGCCTACAGGATTTGCAGGAGATACCGTCCGTAGTATCGGCACGATACAGCTAACATCCTACGTCGGTGGCATTACCAAAAGCACCAATTATTGGTCATTGACAATCCGACTATTTATAACGTAATACTCGAGACACCATGGATCTATAGCTTGAGAGCCGTAACTTCAACTTATCATCAATGCATCAAATTCCCGACACCCGCCGGGATGTTCACTCTAAAAGGGGATCAATCGACAGCACAAAACTGCCTTCTAATCTAAAGAAAAATTAGAACGGCATCATCATACATGGTGAACGAAGACATGGACTCACGCCTCCCCTACCACAAAAGACCAAAACCCAAACGGGTTATACATGTAAGCATAAACGAACAGCATCCCAAGAGAGTCATCAACATCGGCGGTGATCTCACGGAAGACATTAGAGCCGAACTCATCAAACTCCTGAGGAACAATACACATTTGTTCGCCTGGTCTATGGAAGACATGAAAGGAATCGACCCCAAAATTACATCGCATAAGCTGAACGTCGATCCCACATTCAAGCCCATAAAACAAAAAAGACAGATGCTCGGCCCGGAAAAAGCCCAAGCAGTAACTGACAAGGTAGAAAAACTACTCGGCGCTGGGTTAATTACGGAAGTTCAGTACCCCGACTAGTTAGCTAACCCCGTCGTCGTTAACAAAAGAATGGCATATGGAGAGTTTGTGTCGATTTTACCGATTTGTCGAATCAACGGCTGGGAATCAGCTACTATCATTTATGGATGCTTTCTCAGGATATAATCAAATCTTCATGCACCCCGACGACAGAGAAAAGACAGCTTTCATCACGGATCACGGGACATACTGCTACAAAGTAATGTCTTTCAGTCTGAAAAACACAGGAGCCACTTATCAATGATTAGTCAATAAGATGTTTGCCAGTCAACTCGGCTGCACCATGGAAATCTACATTGATGACATGCTTGTAAAATCCGCGATCGCTAAAGATCACATCAGGCATCTCAAAGACTGCTTTAAAACCCTCGAGAAATACGGAATGAAGCAAAATCCAGCTAAATGCACTTTCGAGGTAACCTCAGGAGAATTCCTAGGTTACTTCGTCACTCAAAGAGGAATAAAAGTAAACCCAAAACAAATCTCAGTGATACTGGATCTTCCATCACCCAAGAATACATGCGAAGTGCAACGACTAACCGGAAAAATCACCGCGCTGAACAGATTCATCTCGCGTTCCACGGACAAATGTCTACGCTCTTACCAATTACTTCGGAGTAATAAGCGCTTTGACTGGGACGACAAATGCGAGGAGGCTTTCACACAACTTAAGAAGTACCTAACCACCCCCACTAATCTTAGCAAAACCAGAGAATGGCAAAACATTATATCTTTACATCGGAGTCTCAACGGCGGCAGTAAGCGGCGTCCTCGTCAGAGAGGATCGCAGCGAGCAGAAACCTATCTTCTACATAATTAAAACATACTTACTGCAAGGAACGGTCCCGGAAGATAGATGGGCAGCCAAACGTCTCCGCAGAAAAGCAGCCCAATATTTTGTTCAAGACGATGAACTGTTCTGTTGGACAGCAAATAAAGTCATACTGCGATGCTGCGATGAAAAACAAGCCAGAAAATAATAGAAGAAACTCACGAAGGAGGAGGCGGCAACAATTCTGGAGGACGAGCACTGGCCCTCAAAATCAAGAATCATGGATTATTCTGGCAAAGAATATCCAAGACTGCGAGCAGCTTGTCAAATGATGCAAACCCTGTCAAAGGCATGCGCCCATTATAAATGCACCTACCGAGCTCCTTCAAACAGCTATCCCACCTTACCTCTTCATGAGGTGGTCAATGGACGCAATCGGTCTAATGCCTAAATCAGGTCGCAATAAGTATATCTTGCTCGTGACCGATTATTTTACCAAGTGGATGGAAGCCAAAGCATATCCAAAAATCAAAGCAATCGACGTCCAGCTTTTCGTATGGGAATACATTATATGCTGGCACGGCCTTCCATATGAAATCGTTACACACAACGGCTCACCATTCATCGCGTCAACATTCCGTGATTTCTGCGATGGCTGGGGAATACGTATAAGCTACTCAACACCCTGCTATCCTCAACGAAATGGCCAGGCAGAGGCATCCAACAAAACTATCCTCGATGGTCTCAAAAAGAGATTAACAGAATTCAAAGGAACTTGGGCAGATGAACTAGACGGGGTCCTTTGGTCCCATCGAACTACTCCACGAACTGCAACGGGAGAAACCCCATTCTCGTTATCTCACGGCTGTGAAGCTTTGGCGCCTGCCAAACAGCATGTGGCGAGTGCCCGCTGAACTCTAATAGTTCGGGACCCGCAGCTAAACAACGAAAAATTAATCGATGCTCTCGACAACTTAGAGGAACTTCGCGATAAAGCTTTACTTCGCATCCAGAGTTATCAGCAACAAATCTCTAGGTATTATAACAAGAAGGTATGCAGCCGACTGTTCTCGCTTCACGATCTCGGTTTACGAACGGTTATAAATCCGACAAAACAAAGAGAAAATTGGAAGGGACCTTATTGCGTCACGAAGATCGTCAAACCCGGCACCTACAAAGTGGAAAAATGGATGAAAAGCCAGTTAAGCAAGCACGAAATTCGATGAATTTAAGGAAATATTACCCCTAGACTAACCAGCTCGGTATTTAAAGTCTACATTTGTTACCAAGAACTACGAATGACTTGATCCCACATCAGGTGCATTGGCAGTCTTCGGGTTCAATCACAATCTTAATAAAAATCTTTGTCAACCAGCTCGGCGTTCAAAGTAAAGAGCATTGAATCCTTCCTACAAGTCAAAATCGACTGCATCTAATAAATCAATGTTCTGGCCAAACGTTTGATTCATAAGAAAAGCACCACTCCTTTGATACTTCAATTCAATTTAACTACTTCCAAAGTGGATAAGACGAAAGCCGAAGACAATACTCGCCCGACCCGTGATCGTACCTTTCAGGCCGAAGAGAATCCTGAAAGCTTGGTATTCGATCTCGCTATCGTTTAGTATAAGACAAGCAAATGAATCTCGCCTCCAGCACTGGCCTAAAGAATGCCCCCGCATCGCAGGTCAAAAAGTCGACTTCGTAAATCCTTCAAAGCCAAGGGTCACCTCGTGAACGAGTGCTTAAAGCATTAAAAACATTACATACTTTTCATATCTTTGAAAGGTTGCCATTTCGATTGGTAAATTTGTCAAAATGCACTAGAAAAATTTGTCAATTCATCTAAAAAACTGTTTAAGCAAAATTTCAAAGCAATTTATTCAAATCAACACGGCAAGCGGCACCTCGCATATATTTACACAAAAAGGAAGACCGTGTTACAGAAAATAAGCGAAAACAGGACAAGCTTGATCCGATTACAATGCCATCTCGGCGTTTAAATCCTCGCTGCTTTAAAATCAGGACTCTAAGAACGTATGTCCGCTTCTGTCGGCCTGAGATTAACGCATATATCAGAATACATTGTCAAAAGACATCAGGAAAAGCAGTTCGCAAGAAAAGCTAACCTCTTAGGAGCAGCGAAATCATCCCTTGCAATAGGTGCATCCTTAATGCCGCATTGCTGCACCTTCAGATGATCAAGCTTGGATCTAAGTGAAAGAAGC